CTTGTTCCAGTGATCGCATCTTCTTCTTCTTCTGAACTGCTGCCTGGAACTCCTATATTCTCCTGTACTGACTGCTTCGCATTTAAGTAGAAAAAGCTCTCCGCTTTCGTCCAAGAGGCCCTCTTCTACAAAAGCAAGCTGTAAGCTGAATATAGACGCCTCTTTGGCGTGCTATCGCGTAAAAAGTGTGTCGTTCTGCACCACCGACTTTCCAGTCGGCTCTTTTTATACTTTGAGGGTCACACCCATGCCGTGCGTTGGGGTTTGGGGCTGTTTTATCTCTAGTGGCCCCTATCAGCCACTTGGAACTCAAGATCGGCTGCTGACGCATGGCGCCCTTGGCCTGCAAGGCCCGCGCGCCCACGCCAGCCTTCGCCATGCGACCAATATTGCCATTAGGTGACCTCGTCTGTGACGTCTCGCGTTAGGTGGGCTGCAGCAATAATACAGAACCACTGCCCCGCCCTAGAGCCGTACGCTTGCGCACCCCATGTCTGTCGCGCCCCTCCCCTCGGGACCGTACTGACCTCGCCCCAAGCTACCTCTGGGTTAAGTATAGGTACATGAACCCCCGGCCCTCTCGAACATTTTAGCGTTCTCCCAAGCAGGCGGTTGTCAAAGGTATTTAGTGCCAGTACAAGCGAACATGGGGTTGCAGGAAGTATTTGAGAAAAAGATTCGATTTCATTCTCCATTACTCCCTGGGACTCACATATTCGCCTGTATTGGCGATTTACTTGAGCGCGATGCGCTCCGATCGGCCCGACGGTGAGAGACGTTTACCCTCTGTAAGGCCTCAAACTATTCGTAGATCCGGTTTCTGCACATATGTCTTGACAATAACGTGTTGCCTAAGTGTGTTAGGTAAAAAAACCCTACCTAACACAGGGGCGACGAGACTCGCAATGTTTCAACACGGCACAAGAATGATCCGCTTGATCCTTCAAGATTGCCGCCACTCGAGGCTACGCAAATACCGCCAGATCAAATGCTGTCAGTTCATTTGCGAAGACGGCACAAAACTGCATCAGCAAAGAATGTGCTTGAAAGAGCCCTCGATAACCAAACAACTCACGCAGCGGCACAGGAGAAAAAATCCGTGAAGCGCACAAGCCAACGGTAATACACATCTAAACAGTCGAATCATTTTCTTCTTCACAAAGGCGATTTTATTGTGAAAGTTAAAAAAAAGGAAATTATGTACAAGTCACGGGGCGTTGATGAGAGTAAACTATGTACATGATCATATAATCTACCGGGAGGCCTTTGCCGATCTGAGCAGGCTGCGGATGGCCGTCTCGAAGTCCTGGGGGTGGGCGTAGTGGTGGTCTTCAGCCCACTTTCGAAACACATCTAAATGACGGGGGTTACTCACTCAAATGCGAAACGCGCCTACCCTCCAGCAGAACATAAGCCCGAGTTCGCCGGAAGTTGCGTCGCCCAAACTGTCCGGTGAGGTTGAAGTTGGCGAGCAGGCGGCTGGTGAAGAGGGGCTCCAAGAGCCGTTTGACGAAGTCTCGGACCCTCCAACCGCCCAGCGTGCGCAAGAAGGCAACCTACATGGGTTATTAGAAGTAAGAAGAGTCCTACCGTCTGCTGCCGAAATTGCTTGTCTCGGAGTTTGCCCTCGAAGGAATCAAACTCTTCCAGGGAGGACATGGGCGATGGAACTGGACACTCTGCCCTCAAGGACGTCATCTCAGCAGTTGTTTGTGTGGATCTCTGGAGGACACCTTTCTCCAGCGTGTCCAGTCGACCATCCATGACAGTCAGACGACCATCCATGGCAGCTAGTCGACCATCCATGGCAGTTAGTTGGCCAGTTATGCTCTGTTCCATGGAAGCTATACGGTCGGTTATTCGGTGCTCCATGTCAGAGATAGCGGCTGAAAAGGGTAGTCTTAGGTGTAGTACTTACTGGCTATGTAGCGCAGCCAATCGACATCAGGCATAACGGTGTCGGTTTGCCTGAACGCGGGCTGCAGTGGAGGGGGTTCCGGTGCTTTTACATCTGCACTTGTTTTAAATGTAACATGTAAACATTACCTGCAACTTGACCCTGAGGCGTCTCGGTGGCCTCGCTTCGCAGCTCAGGAAACCCACAAGGCCAATTAGTGTTTTGCGTAAATTCCATTCGCCGATCCACAAGTGTAACGTCTGCGCAAATGAAGTAGTGTGCCCACGGCTTTGGCTAAAAGGAGTCCTGCCCTGAGTGAAACTGATGAATGCGACCAATGGTATAGTCGCCCCTTGCCCACTCCATGATCAAGAACAGTTCCATTGGTCAGAACCCCAGGCCTTCCCCTGCATGCCGGCTGTGTGACGGCTGCGTCAGCAAAAGCACGCGAAAAAATCGATACGGCTCAGCTGTTGGCGTCACCGCTTCGATAGCGAGCGGGCGCGCCTGCATGTGTAGGTGTGCGAAGCCGAGAGCGACGTGGAAGAAGGCGGATGGGAGGAGGGAGA